TGAGTGTCAAATGACTATAAATTAATCATCCAATGTCATTAAATTTCTGCTAAAAGTTTATTACAGTATACTCGTTCAAGTTTTCAAGGAATTGCAAATTTTTTGAGCACAAATGTAGTTTAAAAATAGTACCAATCCTTTTTAATTCGTTTATGCTAAATTTAAATGCATTAATTGGTTATATTCAAAGAACAATCCTGAGAAGAAAGGTTAGGTAGAGGACTTCTGAATCCACTCTAAAAATGTGTTTTATAAATTCATGATGAAACTGATATCTCAGTATTTAGGTAGTTGCAAAAGAAATAGTAAGCAACGCATAAATTAATGTTTTAAAAGAATAATCTTTTGTTCGAAAATTGGCAAAGAAAATTGGTATTGCTACAGAATATGTGATCTTTTTTGAAAATAAAAACCTGAAATTGCATTGCAAATACTTTGAATCATGTAATTTTCATAATCACAAATTATGTGAAATAAATGACAATTTAGATAATTTATTCAGTTTATAGTAAATAAAAATTTGCATAACAGAGACTTTATTAATTAAGGAAACTTTTCTGTCTGTTGAAATTGAATGCGATAGCTGAATCATAATATTCTGGTCGAATGCAATTTGTTTTTTGCATAGAGTTGCGATGGAAGTATTGCTGAGCAAATGATAGCTGTGATTTCCGAGATTGACTTCCGACTGGATTCATTTTTGTATACAGTAAAAGTAATAGCAGAACTATCACAGTTAATACAGCAAATATGCAGCAGACAATAATGATTGCTTCTTCCGTGTCTTCGAATGTTATTTTAACGAAATCCTAAAATTTTATCATCAACGATGCAAAATAATAATAATGACAATAATTAATGATAAAATCACTTCGACATAAATTGCTTAATTACTTAATTGTTTCATCAATTCTTTATCATTTTATAACTGATGCAGTACTTAATCGTACCAGCGACGAAATACTTCTGTTTACAAGTTCCCTCGGTGATGCGCAAACAACACGTTTGATGGATTTTGAGTGTAAAATAGTCGGTAGAAAAGTTAGCAGTTTTCGATCACAGTGAAATTGATTACCGTATAAGTTTAGCTGAGATACTCTGCAAGTAATATTTCTATTACTATAGCTTATACTAATTAATTTTTAGTTAATTAGTTATTAATTAGTTTTCAGTTAAAATTTTTATCTAAATATTTCTTGAGTAAATAGTTTTTAGTTTCAAATTAAAGTGACAAATCAATCTCAAAATTATTCAAAAGAAGCATATTTTTTAAATAAAAATATCTCAAAAACATTTAATGTATGATGTTTAAGGTTGAAATCTTTTATCATTAATAATAAATGAAAATAGTTATAAATGAGAAAGTAACTTTATTCATACTTTACCTTTCCCAATCAAACAGTCTGTAAGGTAAAGCTTTCAAAGCACAGAAATTAGCATCAAAAATACGCAAAGATGTGCTGACTATAAAAGCATTTTCATCTATGTATTCCAAAGTAGGGCTATAGCTCACATTTAAAACTTCTAAAGATGTTAAATCCAAAAATGCTCCAGTCTGAAATAGCAAGGGTTTATAACTTGTTATTTATTCATTTACTTATTTATTTGTTTACTTACTTAATTAATTAATTTCGACTGTGACATTATGCTCCCTATATGGCATATATAACGAGAAGGTTTTGTATATGTTCAGCAATAAAAATTAATTTTTCATTTGTGTTCTCAGAATTCTTCCCTCCTCTCAATAAATAGACTAATTAATCATTATGTTCATCTCAGATTAATTAATCATTGTGTTCATTTTACGTGAATAATTTTAATAATTAAAAATACTAATCTTGCGATTGAAAAAACTTTTCAAATAAAAACAAAAATTTGATTGTCTGTCAGTCGTGAAAGGACTGGTGTATGTATGCATCCAACCTGTATCCTCCTCAAACATCGTTGTTCAGCCAAATTCAACTTTTTCAATCGAACTAATCCACTGAATGTTGAAGTAAGCAAGACGGAAAATTCGTTTGCAGCTAAGTCTAATTCTAGCAACGAATCAAAGCTTTGAAAATTATTTGATTCAATTTTTCTGATCTAAATTGTGATCAATTATATCATTTCATGATAATATTTAAATTATGCTTGTTGAGTTTATTCATGCAAAGTTTACACACTGTAACATATTCAAAGAGTTATCCATGTTTTCTGTAGAAAAAATTGTGAAGGTTGCAACGTTCAAATACGTTATTTGTCATGCATATTCACCTTGTTATGACTAATATTTAGATATTCTAACTGCTTCAAGCCATTTTGTTGCAAACTATGAATTCCAATCAAGAAATTCATAGATAAATCAATTGAATAAAGCAATTTCAA